CAGGGAGCAGATAAAGGACAGACACAATCCAGCAGAACAAAGTTCAAGGAATTCTCCTTCCTCCCACCACTGGCACCCCCACCACAGAGCAGCCCAAGACAGCCTTATGCACGTGAGGATCTGGCTCTATACAGGATCCTTTTCTTAAATAGAGACTTCCATGACAATTGTACATTAACATTTGAAATTTTGTAGGAAATTAAGAGAAACTTTCAACTTGCCTTGCATTTCCTAGCACAGAATAAAAGATCACCATTTTGTAACCCCTCAGGACACATTCTTACAGAAGTGGCATCACTGATGAAGTCAGTCTGCTCTCATCTGTGGAAATGTTACACAACATATCAGTCGTGTTGGCCTCTCCTAATGCATTGTTGAATTTATACTAGAAAAACATACTGCACAAATTAGCGCATTGCAAAAAATCTCCCTTCTATTCAATGCAGGACACTTAAAAGTCTATCAAGACATGTTTGTTGAAAAAGAGGAATAGAAGAAAATAAAATAAATAAATAAAAATCAAAGCTTCTTTCCCTTTACCACTGTCCACACATCTATTTCTTGCTGTTAGGCAATGGCACTGAAGCAAGTGAATGAGTTTTCTGCATGGTGAACTGTGCACTTCCAAACAAGAATGGGCTGCCTCGTGCATGCATTTCTTTCAAATATCTGGTCTCAGCATTCAGTTTGCCTCAGCACAAACCACTGAGTCAAAGAACTGGAAGTTCTCTCTTTCTTCAATCTCAGCAGACATGTTCACCGATGTGCAATGACACAGAAGCATGCATGAGTTCAGTGCCTGAAGAATAATGAGCATATATAGTGTGCACTTTATCCTGTCTTCTCTTAAAAGTTTACCTTACTGGAAAAATGTCCAACAGGTACTAGACATGCTGCACTACAAGTTAATTTGTCATGAGAAACACCAGGAAACTGGAAGCTGCAATTAAAGCAAACAAAACATCAAGATGGAACAATAGATAGGAAAAGTGGGAGAAAAAATAGGGCAAGAGTTCTGCCCGTCTGCCTGATCACTAGCCAGAGGAAAAAAAAAAGTATAACATTTTCATTCCAGCAGGACTCATCCAACACTTGGCAGAGATAGTTCAGACATGGATGATCCTGCCTGGAGCAAGGAGTTGGACTAGGATAGCCCCCCAAGGTCCCTTCTAGCAGATTCCTCCTTTATCAAGCTGATAATAGTACTGCATCATCCTGGTCACTGCATCCTGGCCAGGTTAATTAGACCTCTTCTGCTTCTCTTATTCTAAAACTTAGAAGAGGTACCACCCACACACTAGCAATGGAGATCCTTTGCTCTCAACAACGCTCTCAAACACATCTTATTGAATAATAGTTGGGAATAGTCTTTGTTGGGAATCAGAGCACTTTTTCCTCCTGAAAATTATTTGTGAATAAATTCTCTCATTATTTGACCAGCTTTCCTCTTTTATCTCCCAGTACACCAAGAAGTGAAGAACTCGGATAAAGATTTAAACTGAGATTCCCCAGGTAGTAGTGTAAAGAACAGCTAACAGTTACTGAGATTCAGCTCTTTTAATAAAAAGTGAAAGCTAAAAGTGGCATTACAAAAGGCTAAATGCTGTGTTAATCCAAATCTACAGTCATATTTCAGCAGCAGTACTTCTGGGACTGTCATTTTAGATGGTGGCAGCCATTAGTTCAAAGACAGGTCAGGCAATTAAAATACCCTATTAGCCCTGTGTTCAGAGGTACACAAACTCCTCCATAGCAGTTCATCCATTTGAAGCAAAATGGAGTACATTCAGTGTTCAAAAAGAAGAATACACAGTACTGGCTAGATCTGAAATAGTGGAAGCTGATAACATATAATACAGGCTTAACCCACAGTGCTTTTCCCAGAGCACTTCCATTCTGACCTGCCATGCTATTCAAGACCCAAACCTCTCCTGAGAGAAAGCCAATTTTGTAGCAATTTGTTAAGCAGTCCAAATTCATTTTCGTTTATGATTTAGCCCAGGATTTGAACTCAGTCTTCAGAGAGAACAAGTGACAATACAAACCAAGAACTCAGTTCTGCAAGGTGCTCAGCACTCCAGCCCCTCTGCTGCACAGCATGCAAATATGTGCTTAACACAGGGCACATGAGTAGTTCCATTGTACTCAAGTGCTCGTTGGATCAGGGCAGAGTGCACAGTACAGAAGAAAAAAAAAGTGCATCCTAACTGTATTAACCAACCATGACCCATTTATAATATTTTTGACAATGCCATCTCATTATAGCCCTCACATGTTTTCAAGGATGATTGTAAAAGACAGTTCCAAATATAGGTCTAAGGAGGATACTGCTGACTTTTAAACTGATCCTTTCCATTGCCTGTCCCACATTTCCTTTCTCTAGTTTTCTTGTGACAAATATATTTCTTTAACCCCCTTTTCCCTTTCACACCATCATCTTAAAAATGTACATTCATACTTTTTCTCCCCTTTTCTGTTCATCAAGTTGCATTTTTCAAATCAGCCACTAGATGACTAGATGCCATAATGCTGTTATTGAATTCTCCTGAGAACAATACTGCAGTATTCCTAGTTTAGAAGTTACATTTCATCCATGGCCTCACATTCTTTAGCATACACGTAGGTTGAAGCAAAGGATTGGTTTGTTTGGCTGTCTTTTTACAATGTACTAAAGATTACATACAGACATTGACTTTGTAAGAAGAGGTTCTTAAGCTAGTTTAGACGCATCTGTATCAAGAACTACTACAAGTTAGCAAAGCTCAGAAAATAACATGTCACTTAAAATGCAAAGCTTAAAAAAAAAAGTGCAAAGCCAGTGCCTTAGCAAATGAGCTTCCTCAGCAAACTTAATACAGAGATTACATGAGCAGTCTCACGTCTTAATAAACTATGGCAATAACAACATATACCTGACATACTAAACACTTCTAAGTGCTTGTTTGAGCACTATCCCAGCTCAGGATTCGGATACAGGTGTCTACATATGAAAATAGGATCGCAGAGGAAAACAAAAAAGAAGATGAAGGTACAGGCTATCACATTTTATAAGCCTAAAATGAAGGTGCAGTCCTGGTCTATTCACAATATTTTATTTGCTTTGTTTTATGTGGCTTTTATTTTTTTAAGGGAATGCAAGTAAATTTAGTGTCTATGAAAGGGAAGCACTGAGAGCATTTGTTTGAGCCAGATGTAGCAAGGCCAGAGCTATGTAAGCTTCTCCAGATATTCCTCTGCCAAGCCATTTCAATCCTGACCTTGCAGTTCAGGTCCTGGGCATTTTCTGATGAGATACTGCCAGACTTTACAGCCAGGTCTGCTGGACTGTGCCAAACTGTGAAGGGGTTGTGTGATACGCACAAATGAGAGCCAAGATGAACAAAACCCTTCTGCTCCCTTCCTTGGAAAATATAATATATCAAATACCCCAAAACATCAAGTAATGTTTGGTGTCGGGTGCAATTGGAGTAATACTGCATGAAGGGGAAGAGGGCTTACTCTTTTTAAGTTTTCTTTGACAGAACACACCAGTCAATCCATATCTTTAGAGGGAACTGATCAGAGGTGTAAGTTAGGTGCCTAACAGTCACTTTCAGTGGCTCCTATACCAGTTAACCCATTTGTGCCTTTGAAAAATCTTTCCTTTAACCTGCTGCAGCCAGGAGTTGGGTTATGATGCGCCCTAGTTGTTGCTGAGTTGCCTGATATCTCCCTACAGTGATGAACAAATGCTGACAAGCAAACTGGAGCAGCAAGGCATGTGAAAGTTGCATGCTGCTTTGTACTGGCTGGGAATGAAAGCTCTTGGACTAAGTAATAAGCCTGAACTCCCTTTTCTCACCCCAACCTTTATTTATTTATTAACAGCAGCTCAGCTGACCAAACCAGCCTTACTTTTAGGATTAATGGTAAGAGATAGCATGGCCTATTTGCCAGGAACGCAGTGTTACAAATATTCTAGGATTTTATGAAGCTTCTGCAAGGAAGCATGCACTTTTATCCGTCTTCAAGAATCCTGAATAAGTAAGGCCAGAGTTTGTCCAGCAAGAGTCCTGGTCATCAAAATACATTACTGCTAAACCCTTTTTTGCAAACTCCCCTCCTGCCTGGTTGGATTTAGTCAGAAAAAGCACATGCTTTTTTCATAGCAAAAAAACTACATAAAAAACCCCCCAGATATGCTGTCTCCCTTCCTTTCCTCATTAGTGCTACTGGGTTTGTGCAGCCAACTAATAAGCTACCTGACCTTGGTTCATTTAACCCCTCATGCACTGTGCCTTCAGAAGGCCCACAGCTCTATTATTTCACATAGCTGTTATACTTAAAAAGGCAATAGCCACTGGAGTGTCTGCTTTCACTTTGGCCACTTCACTAGCCAATACCTTGTGTATGCTAGGTCTAAGGGAGTATTGCTATGCTGGATGCATACTGGGTGCCCAGGGGCACTTGAGGGATTAATGAGTAGTTTTGTAGCCAACCCAGCCCAAGAATTCCATGAATAATCAATGGTACTTGAGGCTCCTCAGGTAATTGAATTGCTAACCTGGTAATAACTAGAGACGTATCACTAGCAGAATTATATATCTATGGCCGCTTCTAAGCGTACATGGTAATGAACCCCCCCACCTCCCACTGATTGCAAGGATTATTTATCTACTTCTACACCTATATTAAAAAGGGAATCTCTATAAATGTGTGATTCTGATTAATGTGTGCACTGGCTGAGTCGGTGTCTAATACTTTCTAAGCTATGTGCCAGTGACTGGTCCACCTGGTACCACCGCTGGAAAAAAGCTTGGAAGCATTCATATGACAATTATTTTGTAAAGGTCTAAAAGCTGAAGCAAGCAATATACAGTTGATTTCACTGATGCCCTCACATTTGTGACTGCAAATAATGTCATGTGATTTAAAGTGCATTTACAACCAAAAATCTTCAAACTAGTGAGTTTCATTACACAAAATCTGCATCATATTGAAAGAAAAAAGTGCTGGGGGGGACAGAGTAATTTTATGATGGTAAAAAATATACAGGGGTTGTAAGTTGCAGAGTAGGGCATTTTATATTTTTTTAATTGTATTTAATGTATAATCAAATCAAGATTGAGGAAGCCCATGGTGCCTTTATTCTCTCTCTGTCAGCAGCAAGATGAAGGGGCGACACTGTAAATTAGAGAAGAGTGTACTTTGATAAAACAAGTATCTCAGCATAAAGAGAAAAAGCACTGAACTTACCTGTGCAGTTAAATTATTGAATACATAGATAGGACTCTTTTTTGTAGCCTGCATGTTATTAACCATGGTATGTGACAAGTCAAAAAATGTTAAGAGTTAGTGACTTGAGGACAGCTGCAGGGCTGGCTACAGTTTTCTCAAATGCCAATTTATTACAGAATTCATACTGGCAGACATCAAACAACAGAATAGTGACTGACTAATAAATTATTAGTAATAGAATACATAAAAGAATACTCACAGCCTGACATGTCCCTCCTGTTTTGGCCTGGCATCGCAGGTTTTTGCCCTCATCTGCTTCCACAGATTAACTACCACTCCAGCTCTTGCAGTGATACACTCTTCTCTATAACTCATCCCTTTCGCAGCTCCCATTTAGTTCCCTTTTGAGGTACCAATAATTCACAGAACATCAAGAGAAATTCCAACTAACACTGTCCCCAAACAGCTTTTAATACTACAAAGGCTGCCACTTTCAGTTCCCTTTTTTCTTTCACACGAATGAGATCCCAAGGTTTCTCCCTGGAGAAATCTCCCAGCAGCAAAATCCAGCTCCCAAACAATCCAAGCTTAAACAACTCCACCTGCTTCATGTTTGAACCTTTTGTCCCCGCTGCACTCCCACAGCTCCCCCATTCTCTTTCAGAAGTAACCTTCTGACATCCACGCAGCTCTCTCAGACCTACTTCAGGAACCAACTACACTCTTCCTAACTGAGCTTTGTCTTCCCAGAACTTCCCTCCTGGCCAGAGCTCTAGCCAGGTAATGCCTAAAATATTATACAGGTGTGCCTGAATAGCTGACTACCCCCAGATGCAACCATGACAGCTAATTGAGCTCTCTGGTTCAATTATCTATCTCCTCCTTTGCCAATGTAGGTTTATACACTCCTGGGCAGATCCAAAAAATAGGATCTAAACAGACTTAAAATACTTAAGTCCAAAACTGGAATTCAAAAAACCTATTTAGCAGCTGCCTAACCTCACCTCTTTGACCTGAAAGTGCCTGGGATGCCTGCAGTTCTACCCTTGTGCATGCCCAGGATGCCTCAGCCTGAACAGCTATATGCCTAGCTCCTGCCTGAGCCCAGTCAAGATCCAGAAGCTAGACAAAACAGTTCTTAAGTGCCTCCATGGGCCCAATCCATCAGTCATGTTCACTGCATGTCTCACATATACTGGCAACTCATGCCTCTCACAAAGGTAACTGTGGCCACCTTAAATACAGCCAGAGGAAAAGGTGTGGTCCCCACTTTTAAAAAAATAAGATAGCCCATTTAGAGCATCAAGAAATGGGAAGTTTGGGTTGTAGGCCCTCCTCAATCTGGCCTCCAGTCTCTTCTCCCAGGATTGTGTCTGGGTGCATATGATCCAATAACTGTTTCATGTGAAATGTATAATTAACCCTAAGGAGCAAAGACACCTTGCGACTACCCCAGCTACTAAGCTAGACTGATGCTTCCTATTGGTTCCTGGCTCCAAGAATTTTGTCTTCCTCTCTACACAGTAGCACAGCTTCAACAGAAGAGGCAGAGAAATGTTTCCCCTGGCCCTCCCAGAGCCAAGCATACTGACTGGTAGTTTAAATGCTCTCCTCGGAGGCTAGATATCTAAAACTGTTTCACTGGAGCAGAGGAGAATGTTGAACCTGGAGTTCCCATTTCATGAGGAGGTGATGTAATCACCCAGCTATTACCCAAAATGTAGCTACTAGGGCTGTGCAAACCTTCAGAAACCGATTAAATTCAGCAGAGATTCAGCCTGATTCGGTAGCTGAATCTCCAAATCTGAATCAAATCAGGAGACCCTTTAATCTCTCTGAATCGAATTGGAATCCTCCGAATCAATTTGGAAAGATTTGACGATTCAGACGTAGAGACAGCTTTAAATGTTTTTTTCTACATACCTTAAGGTACCGGGCAGCTCGTCAATGCTGTGATACTGGGGTGCATGGATCACGTCCGGTCCAAAAGCACTTCCAGTCCACTTCCGGGTCTGCTGGGGAGCGCATGGGGGGGCCCCCCTGCACCCTCCTGGCTCAGCGACTGGTACCTCCTGGGTCTGGGGGGGCACCCAGGGTCCCCCTGCAGCCAATTGCTGAACCATGGGGGCGCAGGAGGGGACCCCAGCATGCTCGGCAGCAGACCCAGAAGTGAACTGGAAGTACTTTTGGTCCACTTCTGGTTTTGCCACCAAGCATACAGGGGGCCCTCTGCACTCCTGTGGGATGCTCCATCTACCCCACCATTGCAGAATTCATGAGCTGCACCTGGTACCTCGAGGTATATGGAAAAAACATTTAAAGCTGTGTCTATGGCTGAATTGCTGATTCTCCGAATCAGCATCGAATCTTCAAATTTAGATTCAGCCTAATCGAATTGGAACAGAGATCCAAATCAATTAATCGAATCACTGTCCCCGATTCAAGCTGAATCTGAATCCAAATCGAACAGGGCCCATTTTGCTACTACTCCTTGCTTCCTCCAATGGCCAAAGTAAGCCACAAGTATGTTTTGTACGAAGACCCATCTTTTCAGCGTGTTAGATATTCTTTGAACATACCTACCAGATTACTGATTTAGGTGCCAATCTCCTCAGATAAGGTCAATTCTGGAAATGGGCAGTAGCAGTCCTGTAGGCACCTAGGTAACTTTTAGGTTAAATAGGGAAATGCGTAGGTAGTTACAGAGTTAAATGGACCATGAACAAGGGTTTTTTTTTTATCTCAGTTTGAATTCATGAGGAAATGTTGAAGGAACTTGAAAACTGAGCCTGAAGAAAAGACAATTAACATACCTGACACAATCTATTTCAAATAGCTGAAAGGTTGCCGTGAAGAGGGGAGTGAACCATTATTTCCACAGCCACTGAGGGGAAGGACTAAAAGCAACAGGTTTCAACTACAGGAAGAAAGATTCAGCTTAAACCTCAGGGGGAAAAAATACTGTGTGTCAGAGGAGCTAGATTTGGCACAAACTACCTTGGAAAATTGTAAAACCTCCTTTAGAGGAGATTTTTTAAGAGGAGGCCACACAGACCTCTACCCAGGATGGTTTAGCTAGAGTAAAACCAGTGAGTGAAACTAAATGACCCTGGAGTTTCCTTCCAACCCTTTTATTGTCTGAAGCACATAATATGCTGGCTTTGCAAAGGTTCCATACCAAATCAGTCTTTGCTTTAGAGATCGGGGAAGTATACAGACCTAACAATAAAATAATATCTGTTTGCATTCCCCTGGTATTCTTCATCACTCTTGACATTTCTTTAGGCTGAGGTTAGAGGGATTTTTTTAAGGAGTCCAGGAACTTTTCTCTCACTTCCTGCATGCAGATTCTTTTCTGGCATATATTATCTCATTCCTGTCACTAGTGATTTTTTTTGTCTTCTCTCTCTTTTAAAAAACTTTATCAAGTGATCCAAACCACTCACCAAAATTTCTGGTGTTTATGTGCCACCTCCTCAGAAGCTCAGACTTGGATGAAAAAAACAAACAACCCCCCCCCCCCCCAAAAATAGTTTAACATGGGTACTCTTTATCCAAGGATGGTCCATTTGAATGAACAATCAAAGTTTGGTAAGGCCATGAATAGACACTACATTTGTAGCACTATATATGCCCTTGTCAAGCCAAAAGAAAAAACAAAGGAGTGCTTTTCCTATAGATCTACCAACATGTTCCTGTTTGAAATAGGGACATCACTGTAGTGCTGTGTTTTGTAATGCCACATGTAATGTCTGTACACTTGCTCCCCCATACCCGCAGTATTCCATTCCCACCACTTGAAGGAGGTGGGAGCAGGGAAGGTAGACCTCCATGATAGCCAAGACAGGAGACTGCATCTCTGCTCACCACATTTAATTGTTAGAGAGCCTGCTGGTCTTAGGGAGCAGCAGTGACCACTCTTGCCACCACTACAGTGGTGGTGGGAACCAGTTTTGCTACCACAGTAGCAACAGTGACAGAGTTAGCTACCGAGGCAGTGGGGGCAGCTGCTGTCATGGGACTCATAAGGTGTCCATCAAGAAGCTCCTAAAATCACTGCAGAGATCCAAACACCTAAGCCAGAGCCCTGGATAACAAACAGTAAATCAAACACAATGGGCAAAAGTATATAACCACACACATTGCAAATACCACCATACACATTACAATATATAGCTGTGATATTTAGCTTACTAAAACTACCTTACTTTTTTCCTCTCTCAACCAAGAAAGAACTCAGGTATATATATTTTTTAATTATGGAGACACAATCTTAGATATATTGTATAAAGGAGGAGGAAAAAACAGTTTAAATGAACCCTAAAGGAGCCAATTTCTCTCTCTCACTGTACCTTGGCCTATCCTTCTCCCTCCTTCCTCTATTTTCCTGTTTTTTTTCTCTCCTTAAAAAAATCAAAATACCAATGATCTCTTCAAATACTTTCATTCAAAAGTCTTGGATAATTCAAGCATATGAAAAAAAAAATCTTGAAATTCAGGTACCCATCAGTGAACCCATATACTGTATTTCTGTGATTAGTCACAACAGTGCGTAAACAATCCACTCGGTGAAATGTGTTCCAAAAACAAATACAAATTTCAAACATCAGAGCACTTTTAAAAGTGTATTTGTTAAAATGACAATTTATACACACCAGGGGGACAATGTGACAGATGCAATGAATAATTGAATCAACTCTACTTCTCTCAATGTCCTTTAGGAACACATCGCATTCAGAAACATATATAAATAAATAAATATATAAGCGTACAGACAAACATGCTTTTTAGCTGCTTTAAACAGGGAAGATGAGTCCTCTGCAGCATTAATCAGCTTGTTATAATCAAACTGTTACATCCCTAACTTTGACCCTAAATGAGGCAGAGTTAAATTTGGAGCTATTTTGCAGCACTTGTTTTGCTATGGAATCATGCAGGTGTAACAATGGCTCATAACAATATCCTTTAATATCAATGAAATTGTAACATTTCTACTGACCTGCTCACTTTGTGCAAAAGTACAGTATGGCTAACCCAACAAGGCAGAAGAAAGGTTGATTTACATCTTTGACACTAAATCAGAGATGTATGGCATAAGCTTTTCTAAGCAGCAGCTTACTTCATCAGATACTGTAAAGCAGGGGCAGGCAGTTAGTTTAGCTGGAGAGCCACTTAATGAGTTTTGGTGAGCTGTTGAGGGCTGCAAGGTTGCTCTGCCTCTTGACAGGTGCTCCACCCCCTGATCTCCATCCCGGGACAAGAAGTCCTTCCCCTAGCCCCTGACCATTGCCACCAGAAGTCCCTCCCCCAGAAATACTATTTGGGGAGTGGAGAGTTGCCATCTTAGAACCAGAAAAAAACCAAATCATATACTAAAAGTCAAACACCTACTATAACATATTTTAATTTTATTACAAAAAAACTATGTCCTGATTTGTGTTTGCATAGTATATATAGAAATGATTGCATAATAATTCAAAAATGAAGTCTTACTTTGGTATATTGTGAGTGGGGAGTGGTTTGTGGTTGGGGTGGGGGGTGTATGGTGGGGTGTGGGGCAATAGGGTATGTTGGGGAGGTGTGTGTATATACGGGGAAGGTTGTGAGGCCAGAGTGTGGGTATGTGGGGTTTGTGAGGTGTGAGAGAGGGTGGGGGGTGTGGGGAACACTGCCTTTGCCACTCCCTGCTGTGCAGGTCCCAGGACTCCAGTGGGCAGCGGGGAATGGGGTTCTCCTCCACTTCCGGC